AATGACGAGATCTGACGATAACACAAGATTTAACGATGACGAGTCTGACGATGACGAGATCTGACGATGACAAGATGTAACATTAATGAGATCCGGCGTCTGACGATAACAAGATGTAATAATGACGAGATCTGACGATAACACAAGATTTAACGATGACGAGGTCTGACGATGACGAGATCTGACGATGACAAGATGTAACATTAATGAGATCCGGCAATGACGAGATCCAACGATAACGAGATCTTTTGTCTGACGATCGGCGATGAATAGGGAATGAATCTCGGAAATCGGAGAAGCCGACGAGAGCGGACGAGATGGATTCTCAGGTAGAAATCGGTGGATCCCGATGCGAGGATTGGCATCGATCGGTACACCGTTGCGCGGTACTCGAATTTACAAGCTCGTTACTTCGCGGATGAGGCTATGGATCGCGTAGAAGAGATCGTATCGAATATTCGATTACCTGTGGGAGCACGCTCGGCGGATAAGATTCGGGAAGAGGCCTGGGAGTGGAACGACTGGGAATGGACGGAAACGGGTGGTGGTAATAGAAACGCTACTACCCCTGCGATGTACCGTTCCCTCCTACGCGCGGACCCTCGGCGTTACCACCTTGTTTACGATCGCATAAAACGCTCACGGAGGAGCGGACGCGGAGCGCAGCACGATCGGAATAGTACGATACCGGAGAGCCGATTACGCGAATTTATGTCGTCGCGCAAATTACGTCCTCGAACGAATAATAAATAATCGAGTTTGCTATTTTTAACGCGGACCGCGCCTTTATCGCGGCGTGACATTGCCACGGGGACAGAGATAGCGAGGCGTACGCGAGGCGTACACGAGCCGCGGTCTAACAAGCTTCGCCAAACAAACGGATTCCTGGCGATACGATTTATCGCGTCGGCGTCCGCGGGGCTTATAGACGCGCGGAAAGACGAGTCCGCGCGCGGCCGCTCTACCTTCGCCGCTGTTTGCCGGTGGATGAACTCTAAGAGAGACGACACAAGAGGAGCGCGAATCCGATCGTCGATACGACGACCTCTTATCTGCACGCGCGCCGCGACGGCCGATATCGAGCAGCATAGACCGACGAAGCGGATCGCTCGCGACGCTCGCCGACCGCGCGCATCAAACCGAAGCAGTTTTCGCGACAAATAACGCGGAGTGGAGGTAAGCGTATCCGGGAAGTTTGGGCCATTGAACCGCGTTACTAGCGAGTACAATGAACGACAGAAGCGTAGACGACCGGTCGCCTCTCTCTCTCTCTCTCTCTCTCTCTGCCAGCCCCATTACCGATTTCTCTGACAGATACGTCTCATTTCCCGTAGGAAATCGAGTCGATGCTCGCGCCCTCGGAGAATAGGTATGTACACTCGTTATAATTACCCTCTTCCGTTCTCTCTCTCCCTTTGTTACGAAAACCGTAACTCGGCGTCGCTCGCTCGTCGCCGAGACGCGATGCTATAGAAGACGGAGCGCGCGATTATAATTCCACGTCCCGTAGGAAGGTCCTTGGAAGAATACATGCCCACCACTCCCATTCCGTCGCGCGGAACCGTTCGCCAGACCACACCGCGCGCGTAGTCGTCCTCGTCTGTAAAAATGCCCCGCACACGCAAATCCGAGCGACCGCGCGATGCTCGCGTTCGGCCATGCCGGCGAACCGAGAGGTCAGCGCCGTTATACTCGTCGGGTACCGAGCACGACCGATGCAACCTCGCGAGATAACGTCGCGACCGTCCGACCACGACGCTTTAACGGAATCCCAAGAAACGCGGAGAGAAACGAGCAGTGAGAGAGAGGAGAGAGAGAGAGAGAGAGAGGAGCCCGTATGAAATACGGGATAACAAGCCGGAGAGCGATAAGTCGTCGGTGTGCTAGTGTCATAACGCGCGCGCGGCACAATGACATCTCGCTATTACGAGGCGCGTTGCGCTACACACCACCACTCGCGTGGCTCCTTAATGACTCGGAATGCCGGCTCTCTCGGTGTTCCAAGGGAGTGAAAGTCGCGGTTGAACGCGGCCCTCGCGATATCCAGAGAGAAGCTGCGGCTGCTGCTGTTGCTGCTGCTGTTGTCTCGAGGACGAGGAGTCCGCGATATCTTTCTCCTCGCTGAACCGACACACGTGTGTCTTCGGACGTCTCTGACGAAGCCGATACCGAGGCATCGATCATCCTCTCTCTCCGCGAACGGAGACGCGCACACATCGACTGTGGTCCCGATAAATGGAAAGCCAAGGCGCGTGCAAGAGCAAAATTTCCGAGATACCTCGGGGAAAGAGGAAGGAGGAACGCGTCGTGGCGGCGGCCATTTTTCGAGCGGAGAATCGAGCGGACGACTTATTTTCTGGGATCAGGGCCGCGACAGAGGAGACGACGAGGGCGATTACGTGTTCCAGAAGGACGCGCGGGGAGGCTCGCAACGAGACACAAGGTAGAAGGAAAGGAGAGACGCGCGGGGGATAATTCAGTGACTCCGGAGCCGGTTTTCCATGGCAGCCTATCACGAAACTCGCGAGCTACGACGAACAAGAAGGATGAGTCACGGCTGTTCGCCCTTCCCACTCTTTCCACCGAGGTTGCAGAAAAAGAAAAGGAGTCTGCGCGAGAGACCGGCCACGCGAGAGAGAACGCCGAGAAGATGAAGAAGGTGGCAAAGAAACGAGGAGATTAGCCCTGACGATCTCGAGGCTACGGTTCGCCTACGCGCGACTAGCTCCGCGCTAACGGCCAAGCTGGTACCGAGCGAGCAAAAGGAGACAGGTCAACCTTCGCTACTTATTACGGATACTTGCCCGTCGATTCCTCCGTTCCACGATTCCCGGCTAACCTACCTGCCCACCGCCACCTAGCCGGTACCTATCCAGCTAGTTCGCGATATCTCGCGCGTGCCACGGCCTCCGATGCCCAAGCGAAATCTCGAAATCTCGGAACGGTGTAATTTGCATCGTTCACGCGAGAGGATCGATGCCGCGACGAGACGCGACGCGGATCTCGAGCGGAGATAAAGCGCGAAGGCGCATGGGAGCCGACACCGAGTACCAACGGGCGTCCCCGGACAGCGTACGCGACGATTATCGACGAAGGCTTTTCGATAACACCAGGACTCTGCCACGGCGCACGAGGAGAGATCGAACCGAGCTATAAATAACCGGGTGGAAAAATCGAAACGCGGCCGAGCATTATAATTGACTTTGTTAACGTCGATCGTTTCGCTATCCGTTTATCATTTTTCTTTTTCCCTCCCTTTTTTTTTCTTTTTTCGTAAAATAAATCTTCGATAATCACGAAAGGCCCGAGATTTATTAGACGTCTCGAGGCCAATTAAACACCGGCCGAGCTCTCGATCCGTGACGGTTATCGCGTGGTCGTTGCCGATTATACCGCTACACGCCGATTGCTCGAAATCGAAGAGAGCACGAATCACGAACCACGCTCCACTGAACAGTGTCCCGAGTTACGCCAGCTGAAACCCTCCTTCCCGACTCGCTTCCATTATTTCTCTACAACGCTACGCCCAGAATCGATCGGCTTAATCGATCGATAGATCGATCGGTCTCCGTTGTCGAGTGCCGGAGTCGAGTTTCACGGGTTCGCCGCTACGAGGGGAATATCTTGGTTAGGTTCCGAGCAACCATTGCGCTCGCGGTGTCCGCCATGTCGTCTTCCGCGCAGCAGCTACCGCTCTCCGGAGGAAAGGAGGACGCGCGTGGACGCGATTAACCCTTTCGGTACTACTGCCGCCCAATGGCGGCGGCCGTGAAACGTTCTCTAGGTACTGTGCGTTGCATGGAAGAAGTCATCTGAGAAACTTGTAGGACCGAATCCCCACCAGCCCAACCATTCTAACATCATGACAGAAGTAGAGTAAATCGATTCCTTTATCGGTAGAACTGATCTCTTCCTTATCAGCCCGGTCATAGAACACCGTGTGACAAAGAAAGCGAACAAAGCAACTAGACAAAGTGAGACAGACGCAACAAATAGATGCAACAGCGTAGACTCGTCCCAAAAGTACATTAACTTCGGATTCTACCGATGAACACACGATTATTTGCAATTACTAATTACTAATTAGCATCTCGATTAACTTTTCATTGCATTACGCAGCGAACGCGATGTACTATGTACATATTTTTTATATTTCTGTTGTATCGTGTGATTTTTTTAAACGGTTATCTAGTACGATGCAATTATATAATTAATTTATCATAAAAAATACATCTTAAATTTTAAATCAATTTTCATAAACGATGTTAATTATTATTACTTTCGTACCTCTTTACTTTATAAATCTTTGAGCTATTGTCATCTGATTCCTTATTCGACTCACTGCTTTGTATTTCCAATTCTAGGTCTTCAGTTGCGTCTTCTATTATTCCATCTTTCGCCCAATATTCGTGTTCCAGTGTTTCTACGTGTTCACAAAATCTTTTCCAATCATTTGGTGTCGTTTCGTGTATTGCCTGGCGTAGTAGTGCTACCAATTCATCGTAAGTTAACTCTGAGATAACGTTTCTTTCGCGGATATCTTACGCCTATGTTAACGTGTCACGTTACCGAACTTGGAGATAGTAGTTTTGGGAGTGTCATAGAAGAGTGGGTATTACTAACGAGAGTATAGGCGGTGCAAGTGGAATACCCCTCTTGCCCCGCAACCGAACGAGGTGACTTCTTTCCTGCAACGCACAGTAGGTACTACGATCGCCTATTGGCGACATCCACGAAACGTCACCGATGACTGTCGCGGTCCGAATGAAAAGTTTAGCGGAAAACACGTTTTCGTGGCTTCCAGTGCAACCTCGCTCTTGTGGAAAACTTCCTCGTACCACGAATGTATAACCGTGGCCAGCTCCTCCGTACCGAAAGGGTTAACGGAATGCGCATTGGCGACACGATTCGCTGGCCTTGCATCGTTACCTCGATTCCAGAGGGTGGCAAGAAAGGTGTCGCGTGTTCGAGGAACCGATAAGGCAAGACTCTTTACTCACCTCTGCGAGAGGTTCCTCCTTGGTGACGTCTCCATTCTTGGGCGCTTCTTCGCGGGCAGGCTTGTTCTTGTCCTTCTTGCTGAAGCTGATCGACCTGAAGGACCACTTTTTCTTCATCTATGAACGAGGAAACGGTATCGATAATGATCGAGGAGCACACACTCGTTACTACGCGTCTTAGTTCTCTAAGTCGCGGGGGTAAATCGCGCGCACGTGTCTCGCCGAGCTGTGGATTCGTCGGACCCTTTAAACACGCGGTTTCCGACGTTCCCCGACATCGGCGACCAACCGAGCCACGACTCGCGATCGAGGATCGACGAAAGACGTATCGTCTCCCATCCGCGTCATTTCCTATTAACCCTTTGCACTCGATTTTTTGGCTACAGGAGAGTAGAGATTCAAAGATTCTCTGCTAAAACACTGACGATACCTTTTCGAGCAGTAAATAAAGAATCGTGTAATAACAAAATTGTAGAATTATTTGACTTCGATACTTCGCACACTGTTACATTACATTAAATTTGATATATTAACCCTCTGCACTCGACGATGTTTTCGTTACAGAAAAATAGTAATTCGAAGATTTTCTGTCGAGGATATTTTTAAAATGGTAAATGGGAAATCTTCGACATTGCACGCATCGTTAGGTAATTTTGAATTTCATATATTAACATCGATTTTTAGAATCTAATTTAACGGTGATTGAGAGGCGCCTCTCGAGTGCAAAGGGTTAATTAATATCGAACTTCCAAATTTTATGAAATGGTGACTGAGGGTCACCTCTCGAGTGCAAAGGGTTAACCCTTTCGCTACCACGGTATAGTCACCGGAGTATAGTCATCAGGCACGAGACATCATCTACAGACGATGGGTGACTATAGTCGCTGGCCACAAAAATTGAGTAAACAATTGCTAAGACAATTGGTACCGTTCCTCTTAGCTACCTCGCAAAGAATTGCAAGCTCTATTGCGATGGTCAGTTTATCTTTTTCCTTTTTCTTCTTTGACACGTCGCTTCGTTTGATCGGTGAGACTTCGCGGTGACACTCTCCGTAGCGAAAGGGTTAAGAGTATTCGATAATCGCTCCTACCTTTTCCTTCTTTTTCGTTTCCTTGTTGTCTGGAGAAGTGGCAGTGTTAGGACTAGCGGGATTCGCTTCCGTCGGTGTTGTCACCTCCGCCGTTTCCGTGGGAGACTCTGCGGCCGAGATCGTTTCCTCGACCTTTACCTCTTCTTGCTGGAACAACGAAAGCGCCAGCGTCAATGAGATACTTGGACTCGGAGAAATCCGAATCCGCGTGATCCAAGGACGAACGAGGATCTATTTGCGGAACGAGGACCTATAATTTGTCGCTGACAGGCAACGGGTACGATTAACCCCTTTGCCTACATTTTGATCCAAAATCGAGCCAAAATTATTTTAATTATTTTTCTCAATTTGGTCCAAAATCGAGCCAAAATTATTTTAATTATTTCTTTTAATTCGGTCCAAAATTAAACGAAAGGGGCACCGACAATGAGGATTACTCTTCTATCGTGAATACTGGAGGGAGCTTTCTTTGAACGAATTTTGGCCTAAAATTAAATAGACAGTCGTCGATATCTCGATGACAACTGGCTTTTTAATGCATCTCGCAATACAGGAAGATAGATTCTGTCATTTGTCTAGAGTTCCTGATGTCAGAGTCATAGGGAAACATTGCAGGTTCAGTTTTGACAGTAGAGAGGCTAGCACGTGTCACACCAAAACGTTATGATGCATCGAATATTGATATTCTTCTGATTTAGGTATCTCAACCCAATATTTTTGGAGGTACCACACCTGGTACGAACCAGGGTCTAACTGTTTAGTTTAATTTTAACCACTTGCGATGGTAAGAAATTCACAGACGCGTGTGTCAGGACGGTCCAGTGTTCCTGTAACAACTGCCTAACGACGTGTATACCACGTCGTTGACGATTCTGTGACAAAAGCATTACGACGTGCGTGACACGTCTTTCCAGCGCAAGTGGTTAAGCCGAGAGTCGCGGGGCTAACACTGTCATCGCGTTCATAGTATAAAGTTTCCCGTTGCTGTCCTTTTATTTTACATATCACACATCTGCATACACTACTCCCCTGTGTATCATAGATTAATACATAAATCCATAATGATTTCACAATACTATCTTAGTTATTTCATGCTACGCCACTGCATGCACTTTCCACATAGTGTATTCAAGGGGGCACGACAAAATTTCCATTATTCTTGGGATATATTCTCCATTTAAAGTTCCCTGTTTATCTTCTTCTCCAAATTTCCAAGAAGAGAAAATAAAACAAATATCGAATTTTAAAAATAAGTGTGACCGATCATTGGTGACCACCGTACCCCCATTCCCCCGTGCCCCCTCCCCGAGGAGACCAGTGACACAGTCACTGAGTGACCACTGTGGCGATTAAAGCGTTAATAAATAAATTTTTATTCCCGAAGTAATTGGAAAGAAATCCCCATAAAATTCGCGACGTTGCGGGAGCAATGGTGGACCGGTGCGCGCGCGCGCGGTGAAATCTGTGTGGATCTTGCGGATCCTGAGCACGTGGCGGCAGGTGCGTGGCCGTTGCAAAATCTCGCGAAAGATTCGCACGGTCGATAGACAGCGGGTCTTAAAGGGGAGGCTGGATTTTTCTTTCATGGACGACACGATACTCGGCAGCCGGTCGTTCTCCTCGTGCCGCTTTTATTATTCATAAATCGCCGCGGAGAAGTATGACGCTGCGAATGAAAGAGAGACGGAGAAAAGGGACAGGCAGAGGAAGATCCTGGGAGATAAACGCGCCAAGTGGAGCGTTCTCGATCTCGATCGCGATAAACGGCGAGCCGGGTCGGGGAGAATTGGCAGGTACGAGGTGGAAAAACACGGCTCCGGGCGTGCGAGAATGCGGAAAAATTGGGTTTCGGCTTACTCGATACGACGGAATTGTCCTCGTCGCTTGCGTCATCGCGTTTAGGAAGTGGCGAATTTTCCGAGAGGAGAACGCTTCGTGGTCGCGCGTGCGAGAAGAGCTGTAAGAAAATCATGGCGAGGAGCCGATGGAGAGGAACGGAGCGAGGAGAGAAAAAAGGCGAGAACGCGCTCTCGCAGCAACAGTTGCGAGACTTATCGGAATGGGACAGCTGCGGCTGTCCAACGACGTGCGGGATGAAACCGCGAAAATCTCAGATTACAGCGAACGATCAGTGGTTCTCAGACTCGAGTATCCGAGGACCGAGATCAGGAGCAGCTGGATCAGTCGAAAAGCTTCCTTTCTCCTTTCTGGTAATCACCGTGCTTATCTTCTCTTGGTCCTAAAACCTAAATTGGTCCTAGAGAACGAAGAGATGAGCGGGACCAAAATGGACGACGCGAGAGGAACGACATGGCAGCGAAAGTTCGCCTAACTCGGTTAATCGAGCGTTCTCGGGGATCTATTCCCAGCGAATAACAATCGGTAGACAATACAGATGAATTATTCTATTTCGTGAATCATTATTTCCTAGGTTCCCGAGCGTGTTTCTGGTTTAATGGAATACGAGGAACGGAGCATTGTTTGCGAGGCTCGCCGAAGGCCGGGTCGACGCGTTCGCCGCCTTCGATGGCGTAAACATCAGCCGGCTTTATTATCGATGCAAATCCTCCGGAACAATTCCACTTGGTCGTTTACGTGTTCCATATACCGCGAACGGGCTAAGTGCCGCCATATTCCGATCGAGCCAGCGATCCGCGCAGCCGGTTATCTAACCGCGACGAGAGAGCTCGCAGACTTCCCTTCTTCGCGACGTGGTGCGCACAGCCGAAAAGGAAACGTTCCGAGGCGATACGCAGTTTCCTCCGCGCGCAGAATCTTCCATCGCGTAATACGCGCGAAGTTATATTATGTAAATATCCGGTTATTTTTGTTCTTGTCAGCCAGACGGGAGGACACGCGGGTTGGATATCGCGTATCGTGGCTGATACCGGGGAGAAAAGAAAGAAGACGGGCAGCAGAGGCAGGCTACGTGGCAGAAACGAACATGCAGAAATCCGCTTCGCGTGCACCACCAATGCGCGCACTTAGGCTACGAACATAACGCGTGTTCCTTCCAGTCGTTTTCTCTTCGCTCTTCGGGGTTTCGCGGGGTGGGTCAACTCTTTGGGGCACGCTGGGATTAACACTTTGCATTCTGAATTATTTTAAAAATTTGGTTATCAATAGCTCCCTGATATTTTAAGTACTTTGTTCGGAATTTACTTCAGAGGATAGTTCCTCGATTGCTATTCTTTTTCAAAAATTTGGTTACCAATAGCTCCATACTATTTCAAGAATTTTCTTCGAAATTTACTTCACAGAACAGTTTCTCGGCTGCTAATTATTTTAAAAAATTTGGTTCCCAATAGCTCCCTACTATTTTAAAAAATTTGGTTACCAATAGCTCCCTACTATTTTAAAAAATTTGGTTACCAATAGCTCCTTACTATTTTAAAAATTTGGTTACCAATAGGTCCCTACTATTTTAAAAATTTGGTTACCAATAGCTCCCTACTATTTTAAAAAATTTGGTTACCAATAGCTCCCTACTATTTTAAGAATTTTGTTTTGCAATTTACTTCACAGGACAGTTCCTCGACTGCTGCTCATTTTAAAATTGTTTTATTATTATTATTACTATTCCGTTATATTAAAGATTGTCGTAATTGAAGTAGTTACTTATTTTTTGTTCTCTCGTTCAGTAAATAAGGAATCGAAAAATGTCGAGTGTAACTCGACACAGGAGCGCAAAGGGTTAAAGATCACACAAACAGTCTTTGAAAAGTTCTTTATGCTTGTCTACGGTGTAAAAGAACGCAGTTACTGGCCACAACTATGACAGAGTTAGCCATTTATCGGTTTGCACAATATTTTTTGTTATTCGTTAACTCTTTGGGGCACGTTGAGATTAGAAGTGCCCCACCTTTTTGATGCATGGTGGGACATTTTTAGTCCCACCTCGAAATATTGCGATAGCTGCATGCCCATAGGTTCATATTTCGTCTTATTTGCGTAAAGCAGTTGGTAATGCCTTCAACAAATGTTTTAAATGCATTCGCTCGTGTTGACAACGTTCAACATGCCAGTACAAGTTCATCAATTGTTGCAAGCTGAAGAATTATTGCGACAATCTTTCTTTCCTGGTTTTATGTTTTTACATTATGTGATTATTCCTTTATTAGTAAAAATGTACCAATTTTGTTTCATTTATTTTCTATCTATTTTAGATTATTTTCTATCTATTTAGGTCTATTTTATTATCTGAAATCCCATGCCGCAAAGAGTTAACTGTCCCAACTTAGGCTAGCTTTTTGCACATACTGGGATATATTTTAACGAGGTTTGCTAAACTTGGGCACGACTCGAATGATCGTTTTCATACCTTAGATTTAAAATTCCGCATTTAACGACATAGCTTTGGTCACTCGACTCGGAGATTTTTCCTTTAACCATTTGCACTAGACTCTCAGTCGCCAATTAATCACATTCTGTGTAAAGATCGATGTTAACCCTTTGCACTCGACGATTTTTTGACTAGGGAAGAGTAGAATTTAAAGATTCTCTACTAAAAAATTGACGATACTTTTTTGAGCAGTAAATAAAGAATTGTAGAATTATTTGACTTCGATACTTCGCATACTGTTGCATTACATGAAATTTGATATATTAATTAATATCGATCTTACAAATTTTATGAAATGGAGTCACCTCTCGAGCACAAAGGGTTAACTTATAGATGAAACTCGTGAGATACATATTTATATAAAATTTGTAAAATTCGCAGGGATTATTTTCATTTAAGTGTAAAAGGAAAATTACAGAAACTGCAGTTAAAAATATATATGGCAGTTTCATTTATATGTTAATACTGTAAATTATGTTGTTTTTTAAATTGCTTTTTCAAGATGCCCGATTCGTTCCGTAGAAATAGGTATACAAGAAACGTCCATGGACCTAGTGTCAATAAGTGTATTTTAATGACTGACGATACGTTCTTGGGATTAGCGTTAACCTTCCATGGCGCCGGATGATTCTAGAATCATGTATCCCTGCATTGGGATTTCTTCAATTTATTCCAGCCATCGATATATCACTGTACCGTTGCGTTTAATCACCGGTATCGTGCAAACTCCTCGCATTATCGGCCGCGGTACTCTCCCATCTCCATTATTACCTCGCGTTTATTATTCGATTATGCTTATTATTCG